TAACCAAACAGAAATCAATGCCATATTAAACATGGCCCTGTATAGCATAAGGATAAATAATTTTAACTCAGGTATTGCTTGGAAAGGGGGCTTCTTCTCTTAAAAAAAAATCATTTGTTACAGATTTTTTCCCCTTTTAATCCTCTAACACAAAAGACAGAAAAATACTATGACAAGGTTAAAGGTTTCCCTTTTATTTAGTAGTAACCTTTAATAGGGCTTCCAGGATTTATTTCCCCTTTTTTCTACATGGAAGTCACCTAATGTTTCTTCCACTAATCTAAGAGGTCTGCTGACTTTGTAGTCACATCTATATTATGAACATGAACAGAAGTTATGTCTTTGAGCCATATATTGGAAAAAGATTAGAAATATGCTATATGCTCAAGTAGTTTCTCCAGAAACACAATTAAGAAGTGATTTCAGAGAGGTAGCCATGTTAGTCTGTTTAAGCAAAAACAGCAAGGAGTCGGGTGGCACTTTAAAGACTAACAAATTTATAAGACTGGGAGAATATTATTGCTCTGAGAGGCAGCAGTGTGGTGGGGGCAAGGGAGGCTGCTACAAAGCAGCCTCTGCCTGCACCAGGCCCAAGCTCGTTGTGGACAGAAGCTGCTTCACATCTCCCGTCCATGGAAAGTACCAGTGAGGAGCTGGGCCCCCGCCCCCCTGCATGGACAGGAGCTGCTCTGGCAGCAGTCCCTTTCTGTGGTAAGTCCCAGCTCCCCGCTGGAGCCCCGGCATGAGCTGGAGCTAAGCAAGCCCGGCTTAGTCCCAGCTTGTGCCAGATACAGGACGTACCTCCGCTGTGGCTCTGCAGTTTAAATACAGTAGGAGCCGGGCTGCCTGCCTGCCCAGCTAATACTACATCTAAACTGCAGAGCTGCGGAGCAGGGAGGCTCCTGGAGGTTTCCTCCCTTACTGACTAATTGTATAGTTGATATGAGCTGGAGCTAAGCAAGCCCGGCTTAGTCCCAGCTTGTGCCAGATACAGGACGTACCTCCGCTGTGGCTCTGCAGTTTAAATACAGTAGGAGCCGGGCTGCCTGCCTGCCCAGCTAATACTACATCTAAACTGCAGAGCTGCGGAGCAGGGAGGCTCCTGGAGGTTTCCTCCCTTACTGACTAATTGTATAGTTGATAGAAATTAGATTTACTCGCTTCCTAACATCCCTATGTCTGATGCAAACACTGTGGCTAAGTCTACATTAAAAACCTATATTGGTCTAACATACTCATTCAGGGGAGTAAAAAAATCCGCAACCAAGTGTCATAGTTAAATCGTCCTAACTCCCTCCCATGTAGACAGTGCTATGTCAAGGAAAGAGTTGCTCCCATTGATATACCCATTACTGATTAGAGATGTAAAAACCAATTTAAAATGTTAACCTGTTAAACTATATGTTTAACATGCCTGCTGCATCACACCATAGGCGGGGGAGCACTCTAGCTGGGACGGGCACCAGTTGAACAATTACCCCAGTAAGCATGCCAACAGGAAAAGCTATCCCATCAGCATGGGAGAATCTTCACTTAGGCACTGCAGCTGGGCATCATTCACTGAAATAATCATTAAGATTCCAGTTAACCCTTTCAGGCTGTTAAATAATTTTTTCTTCTGTGTCTTTTGTTTTTCTCATCTTGACAACAGAAGTGTGTTTTTGAAAAAGCAATCTAATATTATCCTGGTGAGATTTGGAGTACAGCAATAGCTGTCAATGAAGGATTTTAATTTCATTTCACAAAAGGTCTAAAACATAGCAGAGGTACCTTGCTGCTAATTCTGGAAACTTCTTTGTGATCTGTTGTATGAGGTACACAATAAACCATTCATCTTCAATATTATCCCCAAATTTTGTCACACCACCAATATGTGCAGGGATATCTCCTGGGAAGAAGAGGGAATTAAAAAATATACAAGACAGAAGTTAATCAGTATTCTCTCTCTTAATGGTCTGTAAAACACAGCCAATCTATTCACCATGTAATCTAACCTGGGGTGGAGAGAAATAGGACAGAACATGACTCAGCAGTTGAAATACTGAATGTTTTGTGCCAGCAGTTCTGTTAACAGCAATATCAAACAGAAAGAAAACAGGATAAACAGTAGGCAATCTTAGCGAGAATCACAGAGAAAGATTGGCAACAGTTCACTTGAGGAAAGGGGTTAAATCAACAATACTATAAACAATGACATTTGCAGAGAATTGATAACTCTTTCAGTTTCTCCTTCTCTGAGACCCATTGGTCTGTAATACCATCATCTTATTTTATTTTCTTAGTAGTAGCTAGTCACTAAGCAGGTGAAAAATCCAATTCTGTAGGAAATTAAAGCAGTTGTTTTACCTTTAGTAGGTTTGTATTTAAGATTAAAAGGTTGATTTTGCCAGATATACGAAACTAATATAGCTGCAAACTGGACCAGTATCTTCTCAATGTACTGCTGAAGAAGTTCTCTGTATTGGTCTGGGTCACATGGTTCACAAGGCATCAGAAAAAGCTGGTACTGCACTGCATCTTCTACAGTCACCAGTCTCAGCTCCCCTTCCATTCTGAATATCAAGTATCCTTGAAAAAAACAAAACAGGTTCAATAATTCAGCAACAGTAAATATTGAGTAACTTACCCTCCAAAATGACATATTCAGTCATGTTATCAATTAAAAACTTTAGAACAGCCATAATGAGTAGGGATGTGTCACTGATTAACTGATAAGCAAAAGCTTATAGGTTAATGCTATAGACTACACACATTTCCTTTCCCCCTCTGTCTGCCAGTCAATTATATAGCAGGCTGGCCAGCATCCTGACTCAGTCCTGGCTTCTGACAGGTCTGGGACCTACCCCTGCTGCGGCTCTGCACTTAGAAGTGCATTAGGAGCCTGGCTCAGACCTGGCTCTCACTGGGTCCAGGACCTACCTCCTTTTCAGCTCTGCATTTCAAGTGTATTAAGAGCTGGGTGGGCAGGAAGCCCAGCTCAGTTCTGCTTGTGCCAGGTCTGGGAGTACAGACCTGCCCAGACAGAGGCAGGAGTGCAGGGTGGCTGCAGACCCTTTCTCAGAAGCAGCAACAGAGTGAAAGGAAGCCAGTCTGCAAGGGGAGCTGGTTTTTAAATTGACTCCCCTCATGGACCAGCTCCCATCTGGAACCCAGCGCTGCTGCCTCTGATACAGTGGCTGCTGGCCCTGCCCCCAGGGACTAGAAAATAGTCGACTAATCAACAAAATTTTATGAGGTTTCTCAACTATTCAATTAATTGGTATTTAACATCCTTAATACTGAGTCAGACCAAAGGTCCATTTAGTCCAATATCCTGTCCTCTGTAGTGGCTATTGCCAAATGCCCTAGAGCAGTGGTTCCCAACCTTTTCAGCATCACTCCCCCTATTTTATTTTTAAGAAACCCTCACTCACACACCCAGCAGCAAAACTTGAGGAAAATAAATAAATAAATAAATAAATAAATAAAGGAACTGACATGGGCCAGTTTGGGAACCCATGCCCTAGAGGGAATGGAAAAGCATACCTCTATGTCAGTGGTCTACAACCTTTTTACACCCAAGATCACTTTTTAAATGACAGACCAAGCCAAGATCTACCGCCTTGCCCCTTCCTTGAAGCCCCGCCCCTTCCTTGAAGCCCCCCCTCTCTATTCTCCTCCTCTCCATCACTTGCTATCCCCAGCCCTTATATACTCTACACTGCCACTTTTTTTTCCAATTCTTCTGTGGGAAGAGATTTTTCCAACATTTGGCCTGTCTAGACTGGACCAAATGTCAGAAAAAACCATTCTTTTGGAAGCCCCCTTATTCCTCATGGAAGGAGGAATATGGGGTGACTGAAAAAGCATGTTTGCTCTTCCACTAAAAAAAAGCAGAACAAATGCATCCCTGGATGCAAAAGAGTTTTTCTGGGACATCTCTGGAATCCTGAAAAACTACTGCAGTCTAGCCATACCCTCGGTGGATTGAGACAGGATGTGTAGGCTCTGGGGTGGGAATGAGGGATTTGGGTGGGAAGGGGTGAGAGGTGCAAACTCTGGGAGGAAATCTGGATACAGGAGAAGGTGGATAAAGGGACGCTGGCCCGGGGAGGGGGCTCCAGGCCAGGCAGTTTTGGGGTCGGATGGAGGGTTGGGGTACTAAGCAAGTCACAAGCTTGTGAATGTGAGGGTTCAGGAATTTGGGTTGAGTTCTGTGAGGGGCTCAGGGCAAAGGGTTCCAGTGTATGTCAGGCTCAGATCTAGGGTATGAGGGAAGGGGGAATAAAAAAAAGCAGAACAAATGCATCCCTGGATGCAAAAGAGTTTTTCTGGGACATCTCTGGAATCCTGAAAAACTACTGCAGTCTAGCCATACCCTCGGTGGATTGAGACAGGATGTGTAGGCTCTGGGGTGGGAATGAGGGATTTGGGTGGGAAGGGGTGAGAGGTGCAAACTCTGGGAGGAAATCTGGATACAGGAGAAGGTGGATAAAGGGACGCTGGCCCGGGGAGGGGGCTCCAGGCCAGGCAGTTTTGGGGTCGGATGGAGGGTTGGGGTACTAAGCAAGTCACAAGCTTGTGAATGTGAGGGTTCAGGAATTTGGGTTGAGTTCTGTGAGGGGCTCAGGGCAAAGGGTTCCAGTGTATGTCAGGCTCAGATCTAGGGTATGAGGGAAGGGGGAATGCAGGAGCGTTATGATGCTGTGGCCAGATGGGGGCTTGGCCCCAATTGAGGGTTTGCTGACGAGGCTTCATTTAAAAAAAAAATACTCTGTAAAATACAAAAAGTTTTTGCATTGTCTTTATTTATGAGAAGGGCAGGGAACCTGTTTTGAATCAGGGGTCACTGACCCACAGAAAAGTCAGTTGGGGCCACACAAGTGAAATGCAAAAAAACCCCTCCT